AGGACCCTCAAAGCTATCACAATACAGAGTAGGAGCCAAGAATTGAGGGCTTTTAAAATGTCTTAATTGTACTTAGGCACTCACCTACCTTGAATTTGTGGGAGTAATTTTATATTATTTGTATGCGTCTGTGGCGCCATTCATATTAGGTACGTCACTATTTTCACAATGGCACATGCATTCTCTGTTTTCTATGACTTGGAACATTTAAAAACATACTCAAAGTTTTAGACTAGCTTAAAGGGACATCATGGACGCTAGAATCCGCGTCTAAATTCATACATTATTGCAAAAGTTGGATGCCAATTATCAAATTCATATACTGTCCTTATATATATAAAAAATAGTAAGATTTGGTTTTAAATTGATCGGTGCAGGACGTGTTGATTGTTTAAACTTTAAACACACTTGATTATGAATTTTCATGCCTTTAATAATAGTGGCGGGTTTTTGTGTGTGCTCAAGCCAGCTCCTCTTTTGGGCACAAACACTGCATTTGTTTTTCCTACTCTGCTTTCCCATAGGCAAAGATTGAATTGAATAATATGGTTATCTTTATTGCATACTTATGAAGCGAGCCAGAACAATGTCTACCATGCCTGGTTCACCATCTTCATGACTTTTAGTTGGCAGTGGTGAGGCAGTGCTCCCAAAAGGACCTACCATATTAGACAAGAGGCATGATTTAAATTGAAAGTTAACTGCAAGAAACTTTGATCCTTTGTGCTCTATTGGACTTGGTTTTTGTTAGCGTCAATTCTCCACGCGCGTGCCACCAATGCATTGTAAATTTCATATGTATATAACGTGAATAAGTTACGCAGGTGCACATTAACATGAATAAATTACGCAGGTGCACGTGGACGAATGACGGTAACTTCTTTTCTCTATGGTGCCAAAATCTCAAAGCTGGTGGATGTCAGTGTCACCTTATCACAACTCAGGCTTATGAGCAATATTATTATGTGGCATACCACACTGGACTATACTCCCCTGAAAAGAGTCAGTTCATGACACGGTTGCATCACAGTGAAACGCTCTAGTTATAGTTTGGTTTCGTCTATCTATATATACATATATACATATATGTATGTATAGATAGCCAATTGGTTCCATCATTAGCTCATGACACAGTGCAGCCACTCACATATGTCTTGAGCTAATTATGAGCTGTTTTGGCTAATTACCAACTGCGGAGCCAATTGGGTTTTGTGGTAGCAGGATCTGATGCCATCATCATCATCATCATCATTATAATCTTTACTAAAAGGTATAGGAAATATTTCAGTGTACTCCCATTATATTATTATATAATTTCATAAACAAAACCTTTTTTTCACTGTGGCATGCGATTTGGTTGATGATTGGCTTGATATCCATTGAAGTGACCTGGCCAAACAGTCATCTCTCTCTCTCTCTGCATTCAAAAAGTTGTGCAGACAGCCAAACCATAGTCCCCAACCCAACAAGCAACAAGAAAAACTTTCTTAACCCCGTTGCGTGTCCCTTGCTTCTTATCTCTCTCCTCATGTCATTTATTAAAAAGTCGAGATAGACAAAAAATGAACAACATAACGGAATAGGGAAGTATTTCTCACAAGCCACACCATATAATCATAACAGATTGCCCTGCACAGATCTTATGCAGGACAGATTACTAACAACAATGATTAATTTAAGAATTATGAGCTTCTATTTTTTTTCCCTTCCTTTTTTCCATCTGAATATGGGTTTGAGCTTGTCATATGAAATTGCTACATGATTTACATTGGATTCTCCTTGAGGACCACTTGGACTTCCAGGCCTACCCAACTTTGAAATCAACATACATACATACATAGTTTTGATCATTCTCTATATATCTAGTCTAGTGACCCAGTCAATAGTCATTCATGAATCATAATCCATTGGGTCTTTTCTCATGTACAATTTTTCTTCCAGTAATTAAGACAAATTCATTGGCAAATCCAAAACCAAAACAGCATTTTTTTCTTGTCCAATCCAAATAATAAAAACCTAGGGCGGTGCCTAATATCCACCTACTCCTAGAGACACAATACAAACAGCTTTCTAGGTCACCCAAATAGCTTGAACTTAGGTTGTTTTCAGAGAAAGATACATACAATATAAAATAGTAAGTGACTAAAATCTCAGATCAAACCAGCAAGTTAGCTTTAAAAGCTTACAAGAAGGAAGAACAAAAAGATTTGATCAGTTTGGTCTTTGTGTAAGATGTATCATGGGGCATTGTCAGCGAGCTCCTCTGTTGAGGTAAGGCTTCCAGGTATGGTATGGTGTAAAAGCTCTGAAGCTGCACAGAACCCAATACTTGTTGTATGTATGTATATACGTGAATCTGACCCATATATGTATATATATATATATCAAATGGTACAAAAGCATGTATCAGCTTTTGACGCCATCTGAAGCTGCTAACTTTGGCAATACTTGAACCTGCTGTTACCTTTTTTTTTGGTTCAAGCATTGATGATAATGATGCTCTCAAGTTTTACCTCGATCAAAAGTCAAAACCCAACCAAGCAACATAATTTGGGTCCAGTAACAAAGATTGCTTTACCCAACTTTCAAAAATCATTGAATGTAAGCTTCCTTCATTCAAATTCACAACATTTTTATCGTGAATAAATCCTCTCCTTTTATTCCGCATTCATCAAAGAGAGAGAAAAGAAAGCAAATTCCATTTTGACAAATTTGCCACGCAATTTAGGTAATGATTAACCTATTAACGTCTGAGTTTACAGTTCATCTGACAGTCGGGATAACTTAAAAAGTTACTAAATGGTTGCAAGACCTTCAAAACCCTATTGACAAAAAGTGCAAGGTAGATTGTAGATGTGCAAGTTGGGATGGAATCTTATATTTATATTATATTGTATAGGGCTTCTGTTTCATGAACGTCAGTGTCAGAGTACCTAAGATATAAACACAGAGAAAGAGAGAGAGAGAGAGAGAGAGATAGGTCTGAGGTCTAAGTCTAAGGTCTAATCCCATCTCATACTAGTGCTCGTACCATATGTGAGATCCGCATAGCCGATCACACCACAGAAAACGACGGCGTACTTTTCCTACATTTTCATCGAAAAGTCAACCTGTAAATTTCTCCCATTCATCACCATTTTCATTGGCTAATCACATCAGTCAAACAGTAAAACTTTTATAAAAAAAAACCTTAATATATCACATGAAATACCCCAATAAACCAAATAAAATTTATAAAGATTTGGAAATCACAAATATTATAAACTTTTAAAATATGAAATTTTATTTTAAATTAAAAAAACACACACAAAAAAAAAACTTCTTTTGGGATGAGTTTGGACTTTGCGGCCCAAAGCGAGGTCTTGAGCCCATGAGATGGGCTTCCCTGTCGTGATCAACAATGAACAAGCTTTTCCTTTCAGCCAACCACAAAAGCAGCCGCAAGAGCAAACTTTATGATCTTCTTCTAAGCTGAGTTGAAGTTTCAGATGATAGATTCAAGAAATGTTAATTTCATTGAAGATAAAAACTTCCAAGTCACAAGAACCAGATTAGTTTAGAAACCAACAATTAAACATACGGATTAAGAGTAATATATGAGAATAGGACCCTCAAAGCTATCACAATACAGAGTAGGAGCCAAGAATTGAGGGCTTTTCCACTCCAATGCCTTTTTTTTTGGGTCAGTACTCCAATGCCTTGTAAAAGCTATTTAGAACCAAAAAAGTTCAATTAGCAAAAGGGCATAATGTTTTAGCCTTGGTATTTGGATTGAACACCACCAAAATGTTCTTTTACCAATTAACCAAATTACGAAAGAAAAACCCCAAAGTTTTTAACATATCAAAGTTATTAGCAAGGCAAAACAATTGTTGTAGTTGTATTAGTAGATTTAAGAGTTGTGATTCATGTCTGGTTTGTTCAGACATGCGGCTTTTGTGCCGAAATTTCAATGGCCTTTTGTGGTTTGTATATGTATTAACCATGTGTGGTTATTATGCTTCCATATTTGCATTACCCCTATGTCTAATTTATGAATACAATTATCACTTTTTCTAACAAAAAAGTTATTTTTATTTATTTATCAAATAAGAATAACTTCATTCATCGCTATCATCAAACAAACGATAAAAGTTTAGAACATAAGGTGTTAATGTGGCCTCATTAAAACTTTGTCATCAAAAACCCCCAATGAAGGTAAATCCAATTAAGGATAAAGAGTACCACCGCACCTCAATAATGTACAGAAAATTGTTAGTTAATCTAAAAGTTTAATTCCTTACTAATTAACCATCAAATAACCCCCACAATCAAACAACAAATGTGAATTTATCATTCATTAGGACTCTTTCATGGTTTCAGAATTATTAAACTATAATATCAGTTAGGTGCAAAAAAGTACGAAGGGTATTATAAGCAGAACAATAATTTTGCAAAAATGCCTATCTTATTGTCATTTCATATAATTAAGTTAATCCCTCCCGATCATAATCTCAACCACCACCCAATATTTTCACTTCATTTTAGTATGTGGGCCATAGCCCCACACAAAAGAAGGTATGTGGGCCAAAGCTCTAGTAAACTATAGTTTTCTTTTTTGATAATTTTATAATAATATTTAGGAAGGAATGAAGATGGTGTTTAATGATAACAAATGTCACCACCAAGCACAATGTTCAGCGTTACATTCCAATCGCAATTAAACTATAAATTTTTTGTTCAACTCATTAATGAATTTAATCCATTCGGATTGGAATAGGGTGGGGACATCTTTGGATACCATCACTTGTTGCTTGTACATCGATCTTCTTGTGATTTGGACATTTAGCATTTGGCCAACGGGTCTAGTTCGATTGAAAAGTCATTAATTTAAAGATCATTAGTCTCAAGTTCGAATCCTCGTAGCTGTATTATGTGAGAAAATTTCCTCTTTTAATATTGCTTACAAAAAAAATATATATATAAAAACGCATTTGATTAAGATTAAATTATGTTTTTGTCCACAATGAAAGCAAAGTCTTCATTTACTTAATCACCCATTGCTGCTTCTCTCCGCCTGCCCTAGTCTCTCTCAAGCTGCCCACTTTCTGATGATCTCATCTCCCATTACCAAAAGTCATTACTTGAGCCTTTTAATTTCTGAGACTCAAGACTTGAGCTTTCTCTTGTTTCTGAATCTTCTCTGGGGCCTCTCCACCTGAGTAAGCATTCATACTCTGTTTCCTTTTTGTCTGGGCAGTTTCTCTCTCTCTCTCTCTCTCTGCCAAACTTCCTTGATTGAAGCTTATCAGACTTACACTTTAGTGGTTTGCTTTTGTTGCTTTCAATTCAATTTTGGTAAGTTAGATCTGGGTTAGGTTGGAGTTTAAAAGACGCTTTCCATTCATGGCCCTCTGAAAACTGAAATTTAACTCCTTTGCATTTAAATTCATCTTGACGTTTCATAACTCTGATTATTACTTGATAGATACCTCTCATTCCTTCACCTGGTCTCGTTCCTTTGCAACCAACGCATCTGTGTAAGCGTTCTTATTGTTTCTGTAAATAAATCATACATTTTTCACTTGCCTTGTTCGCCATCATAGCTCCTGAATGCTAAAGTTATGAACTTGTTTCTGTTTTGCTTGACACCCATGTTTTGTGCTGAAAACTATTAACTCTCGGCTTAGATGTTATTTATATACTTGTTAAGAAGGCGTTTCTGGTTTGGTCATTAACCTCCTTGCTACTTAAAGCTCTGTAGTCTTTAGAAGATTGGTGGGTTTTGCTTTGATTCAGTTTCTGAGCTGATACAGAGGGTTTAGGTTTCTAAACCGAAATATTTGTTGGATAAGGAACCAGTAAATGAGTATGAGGAAGTATATGAATCCCCACTCAGCAAGGGTCTTTGGTGATAGGGTTTGGGTTATTCCATTCTTTGCTAGCTTGATCATATTCATTACCCTCTTTTTCTCGGGCATTTCTGGGCTGTTTACCTCCCCACATGGTGGAGAGCAGTTGCCATTTGACATTATCTCCTTCTCAAAATCAGATGACTCAAATGAGTATTTTGTTGAATCTGATTTGAAAAGATCATTGGAAACCAATGGGCGTTCTGGGGCACCTAGATTAGCATATCTTATATCAGGTACAAAGGGTGATAGCCATAGGATGATGAGGACTTTAAGCGCGGTATATCATCCAAGAAATCAATATATCCTACATTTGGATCTTGAGGCTCCGCCTCGTGAAAGGTTGGAATTGGCAAGTTCAGTGAAGGTTGATCCTACTTTTAGTGAAGTGGAGAATGTGCGTGTTATGGCTCAATCCAATTTGGTGACGTATAAGGGCCCTACAATGATTGCTTGTACCTTACAAGCCATTTCTATTCTGTTAAAGGAGAGCTCAGAGTGGGACTGGTTTATAAACCTCAGTGCGTCAGATTATCCTCTCATGACACAAGATGGTTAGTACTAACCTTCCCTAATTGCTCATTGTTACTTTCATTGATATCATGGATGCTGTAATCATTACTACTATGCTTGTATGAATATTTGCTGCCCTTGATTTTTTAAAGAGAGATTCGATACATATTTTGCTATTGCTTTTGATTGAGCTTCTTTCCTCCCATATGGCCTGCCAAAACGTTGCTTGTCACGTTTGTCGTTTTAAGGACTTTGTGACAATTGCAAGGGCATTTTTTTGCAGCATGAATTTGTGTATTGTCCACTATGTCATTTCTAATTATGATGGATGTTCATCCATTTTAGTGTGGTAGCAGAGAATGTTTTGCTGATTCAATGTATACTTTTATCCCTTACCATGTCGTAATTGATAATAATAATAATTTTTTGTTGAATCTGTTTGCTTATGAACTTGGATAGTGAAAAGTACCTCATAAAGTGTTTCCGATGACATGCCCACCAATGTAGCCCCAAATTTTGCCTGCTAATATTCAATGTTGTGCTAATACCTGATGAATTGACACTTTATTCAAATATGTGATGAAGCCTATCCTCGTTGACTAATGGCATGCTATCTGCACACTGCTGTTCCTTTGTATGAAATAGTCTATCAAAGGTGTACCAGAATCCTATAAGTAACGAGGCATTTATAAAAGGGGTACAGTAGTTTTCAAAATATATTGCTATGGAAAATTGAGCTAGTGATGCCCGTCTATGTTTTGGCTTCATTGATGGGCATTTGTTTGGTCCTAGGAGTGACAACTGCTCTGTCCTGTTGATTTACCCTAAAGTCTCATGGCATTGTTATTTATGCTACTAGCAGAACCATATTTGTATTAAACTGTCTGCCTGTTTGATATAATCTAAATGTATGTCATGTGAGGAATATCAGTCTCATGTTACCTGATCTGTTTCCTAATTGTGCAGATTTGCTTCATGCTTTCTCCAATCTGTCTAGAAACCTCAACTTTATTGAACTTATGCAGATTACTGGATGGAAACTGTAAGTGAAATGTATTAAGCCCAATAAGAAACTATTCTATCTTTGTATTTTCTTATCATGATTATGCTATAATCTCTTGTTTTGCAGGAATCAAAGAGCAAAACCAATCATAATTGATCCAGGCCTGTACTTATCAAAAAAATCTGACCTTGCATGGACCACTCAGCGCCGATCACTTCCTACATCATTCAAGTTGTTTACAGGTAATTAAAACTGGTAATTTCTATCCCATTGTTGTTTCCTGGAAATGTTTTATTGCACCTTTGCTTGTTGAATGGTTATAAAAACTTACATAGCAGAAACATATTGAAAAATGTTGAAATGTGTTTATTTTCTTTTAGTTTGACGTGTGTTGTTCATGCAAATCAAACTGTATGCATATTGGGTAATTCAACTCTGAAACAATCTAGAAGGTTCAGCTAAAATGATTTATATTGTATATATATATACACACACAAACCCTTTACGGTCCCCCTACGAATTTGTTTTCAACGATCCATTAAGTCTACATTCATAGATCATCCTTGCAAAAAATTAGACAAATCGGAAACCGTTTTGACATCTAATTGTGTCCTACAAAATCAATGAACATGGTGCTTCAATAAAGTACTAAAATTTTAATAACTCAATTGAGTGGTCAAATGATATCAGATTCCAGTGATTTTTTGTAGAGATGATCTTTGAATGATTATCTAAAAAATAGACGGTTTGGATTAGTGAAATACAATGCGGAGTGAGCCCTACATGGGTGTCCCTCAAATAAGTCCTCAATGGAAGCTATGTCTTGTGTCCAGCTGAACTACTCCCTCAACCCCAAGAGAGGGAAAAATAGAATGAAGATAGACAAAGTTATATGTTAGAAAACCGTTTCTTCTGCAAAATGACATTAGCTTTACTGATTAAATATAGTAATTTATGACTTTGATTTTTCGTTTTTCGATTAGCAATGAATCTCTCTCTAAATTAGTTTTAACGCTAGTTTTTCATTTTTCCTTGTGTGCAGGTTCAGCTTGGGTAATGCTATCTCGATCATTTCTTGAATATTGTATATGGGGCTGGGATAACCTACCACGTACCATCCTTATGTATTACACCAATTTTGTTTCTTCTCCAGAAGGCTATTTTCATACTGTTATTTGCAACAACGAGGAATTTCGCCATACTGCAGTAAGCCATGATCTCCACTACATTGCTTGGGATAGCCCTCCGAAGCAGCACCCCATCTCGTTGTCTATGAAGGACTTTGACAAAATGGTAAAGAGCAATGCTCCATTTGCTCGAAAATTTGCAAGGGATGACCCTGTCTTGGACAAAATTGATAAAGAACTTCTCGGTCGAAAAAGCCGGTTTGCGCCTGGGGCTTGGTGTATAGGCAACCCAGAAGGTGGGGCTGACCCATGCTCAGTGCGCGGTAATGATTCAGTGTTTAAGCCAGGTCCTGGTGCTGTGAGGTTCCAAGAGCTGCTTCAGACACTGTTGTCTGAAGATTTTCAGAAAAAGCAATGTACATGACAGAGCAGAAGTAAGAGTTGGAAAACCCAAGTGTACATTAATGTATCCATAGATTACAAGGCTGATGTAAAATGACACTGAGTTTTGTTTTAGATATATTAATAGAATATGCAAGCTCGCAACTTCCATTTGGCATCATGGTTCTTCATCCCTTTGTTCTCTTGGACCACATTGTCCAAACAAGTTCTTCTGATTAGTTTCTGTCTTCAGATGTTAGTTTCATATACTTTTCAATAATCATATCTGGTGAGTGATCAGTGAAGTAACCCTTCTCCACATCCAACCCTTCTTGAGCCGCTAGCATCTCAACATGGTTCTGAACTCTGTCCCCTCCAATCTGGTTGGGCTCTAAAAGCATGCAAGCTATCTCTGTGGAGTCCTCACCGTGAACAAGGCCCAGTGTTTGCACGGTTGGGAGTCCGCCCCCTCGGGCACTCACCATCCGTGCAATCCGTCGAGTGGCTGCGACATCTGTGGACAATATGGGTATGTTGTACAAGGCCACCCATGGACGTGCCCCGATCATCGAGATGCCTCTAGCGGGGCATATACTAGTTGGCCCTTCATCAGGCTTTTCATGGAGGATTTCTGGCATTGTCCATCCTGCCCATTGGCTGCCCATGAAATTGGGTCTGTAGTAGCCAAGCTCACGCCTGATGGTGTCAAGGGCCTTGCCTGTAGGGTGTGCTGCAGCATACAGATATACTGGCACTGCAATCAGTATGAAAGAAAGCTTATTAGTCAATAAAGAATGAAGGGTTACATTTCCTTGACTTAAGAGTTATTTTAAAAGCTTAGGATAGGACCAACCTTGGAACCTATTGCCAATGTCCACTGCCACTGCCTTGGCAAGCCAAGCAGCTTCATCCAGAGATGCCCTAGCCAACGGGTGGAAGACAATGTCGTCGACAACCCCTAACCGAGGGTGAGCCCCGGAGTGCTGCTCAAGGTTAATGGCTCCAAAGGCTGCCTCAGCCATGGCCATTACAGTTTGCTGCAAGGGGCTATATATGGCACTTCCTGTGCTATCATGCATAACATAGGACACAATAGTGTACCTGATCCTATTGTAAGCTCGGTCCTCAAACTTGTTAACAATGACAGACTCTGGATCGAGCCTGGCAGCACGTTCAATGGCGTCCAGAGCAGCGTGGTTGCGCGATTCAGATATGTAAAGCTTACAGCAGAGTAGCATGGACTGGTCTATGGTCTTCTTCTTCTTGTCCTGGTGTCAAAAACGACATCATCTTTATCAAAGTGTTCGAGTGAGACAATAAGAGGATAATGTACATAAAATTTACTTCATATATGTCGCCGGTTAGAACGGCAGGAAACATTTTCAACTAATAGAACTAAAAACCCACCATAGAGATCCAGTGGGCTTTTTGCCATCTTGAAACATCATCTTAAACTCTGACTTTTCAAACTAATCACACTTTAATTATGCAGATCGTCTTCACGTGAATCACATCATATGTCATGATGCTTCCACTTAGCTAACTGACGAATGTATGGCCGGTATTTTTGTTATTTATTCATTGTCATTATTAGTCTGTCTTCTTGTTGATCCTTTTTTTCTTTCCTCTCTCTCTTTCTCTCTCTCTCTCTCTCTCTCTCTCTCTCGGTAGCCCCCAAAACCAGAATCCAAATGCATGATGAACATTTCTAAGAAATCTTAATTTGTTTGATGAACATTATACTTAGAGTAAAGTAAGCTACTAAGTTATACTTGAAAAGAAGCTGCTGCATTATTGAAGAATGGGTTGGTTTCAATTAATTCATAAATCACACATATAATCGCCACAAACTTGATGAATGATTCTGCAGTTGAACTAGGCATGAGAAAAATAAACACAAGAAGAACTATATGAGCAGATAAAGAGACTAAATGATATTTTCTTCTGCCAAAACAGAGAAGAAGAAGAAGAAGCAGCAGCAAACTACAGAAGACGAGATGATCAATCTTTCAATTTCAATGACTTTAACAACTCCGTACCTTGCAAGCTGGGCTATGATCCATTTCTTCTCTCCAATGTTTAATCTTTGCAGCTAAAGTTAGTGTCTGTTTCACGAGACCTAACAGACAGGGAAGGCGCGTATATAAGAACAATGCTGTGAGTCAGCATTGAGGCAGCATCCGTGTAAGCATGCGCCCCCACAATTTGACAAGTAAAATTACCAAACCCTTTTGAAAGCATAAACCATATGGTGAATGTGACGTATTTTTTTAATCACCACCGTCCGTATGAATATCCATTATAATAACACCACATGATAAATTATCTCTCTCTTGCCACTCTTGCACATCAACACCTAACTATAAGTATACACGCTAGAAAGCCATGTGTAATTGTAAACAAAGCATCCCAAATGTTGTACTTATCTTAGGTATGGGCATCTTTTCTTGAAAGAAGTATAACGTAAGCCGAAAAACTTGCGTGAAATGAGGGTATCGGTCAATCACGGTATATTAAGTGAAAAAATTATCACGTATGACATACCGTAATTGATCAGGATAGAAAAACAGTGCTATCATTGTTCCACACAAATGTTTCTCATCAAGTAAGAGTTCAACCCAGGCAACTTTTGTCCTCTTTCCGTGGTTGTTTCCTCTAAAGTAAAGAGTTCTTCAAACAATAAGCAGACTGTGTTAGCATTACAAATTGCAGTCTTGGTAAGTTTTGTTGTTTGCTTACAAAAGTTATTTAATGTTAAGATGAAACTGGAGCCCTAAACCAACACGCCATGCCATTAATATAAAGCTGCAGAATCAAATTTCTCATTGACTGTGGGAAACAATATGACTGGAAACAGATGTGTCATTTTGTCTCTGATCCCTTTTAGCACAAAGCCAGACCAATCAAATATTATTAGTGTGGATAAGAATTTGCCATGCTTTGTCGGGCGAGGCACTACTACTAAGCAGTAAGCACCAACTAGACCTCCATAATTATACTAAAAAAATACATGTTTAAGAATAACAAACATATAGGATTTAAATAAATTCCAAGAAGAATGACTACAATAGGATTTAAATAATAAATTCCAAGAACAACGCCAAAGCTTCGAGTTAATTATAAATTGGGAAAGAAACTAATGTTTGGATAGTGTGTTGACAACGACAGATGGAGAAGCTTCAACCAGACAAGTTATGAAGTCTCATCACGGGTGCATTGGCCTTATCATATTGAAAGAAACCCTTTTGATTTTATTCATCAAAACTTGTCTCAGATAGTTTGTGCGATCCAACACATGCTGAAAGAGAGGCCTTAAATCTTGTTCGACTAGTATGAGCAACGGCTGTTTCTAGCCTCATAAAAAAAAACAGCTGTTTCTAAATAAAACTAAATAAATTTGATCTTCTGCAACACATTCCTAATATTGAAAAAAAAACATTTCTTTTAACGGAAATAACACTGTTTTGTTAGCCCACGTGTCGTTACGTTATTGGACAGGATGTATCTCATTGCATGAGAGTGTTTCTCCTAATATTGGGGTTATTATTATTATTATTATTTTAATAGCAATTTCATTGGGATTATTATGACTAAAAGTTTACACAAATCAAAGCCTCAGCGATTTCAAATATAATGCCAACAGAACCATCCAAATTTCATACATTGGACAATTCAAGAATCAGTAGCCTCACAAGGATACATGAAAGAACAAGTTTACATACAGCAACCTGACTGCAAGTAACTTTCAATTAATTTTTCCTGAGAAAAATCAGTGAAGTAGCCCTTCCCCACTCTCATACCCTCTTCCTCTGAAAGCCTCTCAACTTCAAGCTGAACCCTATCTCCACCCACTTTCTCCGGTTCCAACAAATTGCAAGCTACCTCGATGACAGATTCACCGTGTGCAAGTGCCATGGCTTGGACTGAAGGAAGTCCACCTCCTCTGCCACTCACTCGTTTCGCAATTCTACGAACAGCAGCAATATCAGTAGAAAAAACTGGGACGTTATAGTTATCAACCCACCGGGTTGCTCCAATCACAATGACACCTTTTCCCTGAGTCACTTGAGGGGGTCCCTTGTCCGGCTTCAGTGCCAAGTATTCCAATTTTGGCCCCCCAACCCACTGTTCTCCACTAGAAGTTGGCTTGAAATAACCCAGCTCTCTTCTGATTGAATCAAGTGTCCTCCCCTCTTCATGGGCAGCTCCATAGAGAAAAGTAGGAACTGCAGGCTACATTTGAGATTATCAGCAATCCATGTAGAATATAAACTGATTTGCATCCATATAATTTGAATTTGAAGTTGACTGTTGCTAATAATCACATAACTTAACATAGCCAGATGATTTTCTACTTTCCAGTTAATCATCTTTAAAAGCATATTTGCTCAGCATTCTACTACTATCGACAATATAATGTGGTCTCACAGTAAAGGGAGCAAACCTTGAAGATTAGAGCCAACATCTGCCCCCAAAAAGTGTGCAACCCCAGCCACTTCGTCCAAAGAAGCACCAAGCAGGGGGTGAAAGCATATATGATCCACAACTCCGAGCCGGGGATGACTTCCACAATGCATCTCAAGGTCTATGGTTTCGAAAGCAGCCTTAACCATGGCAAGCACTGCCATCCTCAAGGGACAAGGATCCTCAGATGGCTTTGGAGCCAACTTGGAGACAAGAGTGTAACCAACTCTGTTGTAAGTCTCATCTTCAAACTTATTGACAATGGGTGCTTCTGAGAAAAGCTTAGCAGCTCGCTCAATGCCCTCCAGCGCAGCCCTGTTTCTGCTTTCAGAAATGTACACCTTGCAGCAACCAAGCATCGACTTCAACATTTTCTCTCCTCCCTGCTCATCAGTAGCTGCAGAAAAACCCCACCGATTACCACAATGAACAGACACCATCCAAAAACAGTGTGGCCATAGTTTCTCTCGGACCACAAAATCCTCTAACCTTAGCCACTACTTCAGCTAGCTACTAGTGGCTGGTGATAAAAGTATCTGAGCACAACCTAAATTTGCAATGAAGGATGCTTTGCAATAGTGTTTATAAATTTCATGCAATGGGAAGTTCAGGTTTATAAAAGCTATATCAAATTGTCAAAGAACCTTGTCTTGCAGTTAATTTACTGAGACTCAACATATAGAAAAACAATAGAGTTTATCAGATTATCATGAAGAACAAAACGTTCTTTAGTGTTCAATTTTCCAACTAATTAATTACACTATAATCATATCATAATTTCAGCAATACATATTAGGAAACTCTATGAGTAAAGAACAAATCTAGAACTAGACCAGGAGGAACACTCACAACCCAAAAAGCAATTGACCAACTCACGCTCCTCCCTTAACCAAAACATAAACTTGAGACTAACCCATTACAGTAAAATGACAAGAACGCAACTCAATACGACATCTGCTTAGCTTCAGAAGCAGCTCCCGGATACCCCTTATACTCCAATTTCACACCCATTGAAGCACAAACCGCCCTGAACTTCAACCTTAGAGCCTCCATTACATCTTGGACGCTCTCGTCCTCGGGTTCCATAACTGGGTATTTCTCAATCAACTCCTCCATCTGCTTCACACCCTTCTGGACCCGAAGCGAGAACCGGGTAGGGTCGACCCGGATTGCAGAGTTCCACACGTCCACGCAGCCCCGGTAGAAGCCGAGCTCCTCGCCCACCTCAAAGCCGTGCTTGAGGCCCACTTCCTTTGCCTCCTCTTTTCCGGCGACGAGGCCGTCTCCGTAGCCTTCATCGAAGCCTTCCTTATGTAGGTTCTCAACGAGATTCACAGCTGGCTCCAATATGTCCTCCATGTAGCACAACTATGCAGAACAATAAAAGCAAAAATAGGAAAGAGACCAAAGATATATCTACCTGCTGATCGCGTAAGTCTCCGAGACTGCAAGAGGGCGCTTGTGAATGGCGGTGGCCTGTAATTCGGCTGGAACAGATCGGAAACTAGTGTTTCGAATTCCAATCCGAAAATTTTCGAAATTCAATATAACTTCCAATTCCAATCCCAAAAAGCCATTATAAGAAAATAAACGGCGTAGACGAAGAAGCTATTGAAGACAATGAGGGATCCTTACGAAGTCATTTGGGCTACTGCGAAATGGGCTGGGATAAAAGTAATTGGGCTGCTGGCATATTAAACCTTTTTGTTTTTCAGTTTTTGTTGGAAATGTTATATAAACCTTATCATGAATGAGAGTTGCACAATTCACAATGAATGCACTTGTTTAATTTATGATATTTTTGTTGATGGAAATTTTATTTATTAAATCTTATTTCATCTTTAAAAAAAATTAAATTGTATGAATATTTTAAATAAAATAGTAGTATAGTAGATAGCAACATTACATATAATTATATGTATGTTTAATTGATATAGGGAGAGATAGTTTCTGTTTGATATAATTAAATGTATGTTTAATCTTGGTTTGTATTAATATAACTTGGGAAATTTTTTATGCTTTTTGTATACATATACATTATAACAAAAAAAAGTTACACATGTACATCTAAAACCAAATGAAAGTATTTCACGTGGTATTAGTTAATGACAAATTAATGAAATTTTTTTTTGTGATATGTATATTTGTTCATTCTTAAAAAATGTGTTAGTCTTGCTCTAGACAAGCACACATATACTCCTATCATGATTTATAGGTAACAAGCACATATATGCATTTTTTATTATATATTATAGTAAAAAATACATAATCTTAAAGTGATATGTACTCTTATACATATGCACATATATGTATATATAATAAACCTTTAGTGTATATAAGTATGTGTATAATTCTTATGTATACATGTATGTGTGTTTTATATATACCCATATATTATAACAAAAAATAGATACACATATATATAATACATAAGTATACATTAGGGGTGTCAATTTCCTATACGACCCGTTACACGACTCGAAATCCACACGAAAAAAACAAGACCCAAACCAGCACAATTAATAATTGGGTAATTTTTGAGTCAACTCATTATGACTCGTTTATTAAACAAGTGGATTTCAGGTCAACCTACCAACCTGCTAAAATACTTGGTTAACCCGTTTAATAAACGGGTTGTGTCAACCAGTGTAATACCTGCCAACCCACTAAAAAATACAGGGAAATGAAAACTTCAGCATCTGAGATCTTTAGTTTCCAAGTCAAAACTCTTTTTTTATTTGGCTAGACCTCGTTAGCAGCGGTAGTCTAAAGTATTCTAATATTCTAATTTATGAAAGTGAGAATTCAAACATGAATGCAAGAAACAGACAAACTGCCTAATTACTCTAATTGATTTTTTATGGCAATTGTTAATGTTGTCTAAACTATGCCAATCTCATCTTGATCCAAGGGCAATTTTCTATACACCACAATATGGGAATTTGAGGGACTAAAAAGCCCAAGTAATATCTCACTCACCAACCGAAAAATGAGGGACATTGTTGTAATTTTGAAAGAGAACATGGGAATGCTCAAAGAAATAAATAAAAAAATAAAAATGTGAAAAGGTAAAGAGGAGTTTCCAGAATCAGTGCTCTGGACACAGTTCCCATGCTTACTCACATTTGACTTCTTCCTTGTTAACTCCGCTCTTAGTGAGTTATTTCTTGTGAGAGAGACTGAGAGTAGTTGCAGGGTCCTTTTTGCATGACAAGCAACATGCTTATATGAATTAATTAACCTCTAATATTATCATTATTATTATGACTGACTGAGAGAGAGATCACTCTGAGAGAGACCCATTGAGAGAGAGAGAGAGAGAGAGAGAGAGAGAGAGAGAGATGGCTAAGGGGAATGGAAGCAGCAACAACAGCAGCAGAGGGAGGCCATATGGATTGATGTTGGTGATGGCATTTGGGGCAGCATTGCTTGGGGTGATGGTGCTTCACAAGCTCAGGGAGAGGCGCATCTTCAACCTCCTCCTCAAAGAGAAAGACACCGACCTCATTTCTCTTCACCACCTTCTACTGGTTCTCTCTCTCTCTCTCTCTCTCTCTCTCTCTCTCTCGCATGCAACTCACTTTGACAAAACTACAAATCAATCTCTTTCTCTTGGCACGCCACCTACTAATTAACCACATGCTGACATGCCCTCATCTCCCTTTTGAGTTTTTAGTTTTCTCCTTAAAGAAAATCACCCAGAAAATTATGGCTTGCAATCAGTGCCTGTTTTGAGCTGTTAATTGGTATGTATTCATGTTGCTGTTTCAATCGATATGCAGATCCAGAAGCCCTTCTAAAAGCACTTTCACTTTGTGTCCCCTCCCCTGTAGAAAAAAAAGTAAAAAATTGATGGCATATCGATGGACGAGTTACATAATATATTCTAAAGAGATACACCCGTTTTGACCAAAACACCTTACTTATTTAATCAGTGACCAATTATTTTATTTGGGATTTTCTTAATTTGGGGAGAAGAACTTCCATGCAATTTTGGCGGTATTCCAAACCAGTCACACACTGTAATGTAGGAAAGTTAAAACCCATGTGATTTGCTTGGGATATCGCTGCAATGACATCCGAGTGTTGGTACGTTTCTCTTACGGGGCAAGAGGGGTGGATGATTAATTATGATTGATTATGAAGCGTATTATTAAACAAGATTAGCATATATGGCTAATGAGATTCTATTTAGTGATATTTTGCTATTTGTTTACCCTCACAGAAGGAGAGAGACTACGCCAAAGAGTTGAAAAGGAAGAACGAAGAGATGACAGCGAAGCTATACTCCACTAGAACCAAAAAGATGGAGCTTGACAGAAGAGTCTTGGAGTTTAAGTCCACCATTGATTCGCTTAAAGAGGAGCTACAAACCATGGAGACCGCACTTGAGGAGAAGCAGAGTGAAATCAAAATGCAGAGAGTTAACGTGGAGAATGAGAATCCTCAAGTGATGGAATTATTAGAAATCTTGAAGAAAAAGGAAGCTGAAGTTGAAGATTTGAAACACCGTCTTGATTACCCGGTTAAGTTATGGTCGGTGAGCACTGATGATCCATCAAATCCAGCTGTAAATCTAACCTTGTCTGAAAGTGTGGCAGGAAAAGGGAAAACAGAGGTGATTGACACTACAGAAGAGGCTGACCGATTGCAGGAATCAACCACCTCTAAAAAGGACATTGAGAAAGCAAGGCCAAGTGAAGGTGGAAGTGGGAATAAATCCATTCGTCCTAGACAGGGTGAGAACAGAACAGAAGTAGAAGATCAAATTGGAAATGGAGAGGGAGAAACTGATAGGAGAGAAATGATGAGCAAACAGTCGGAGAATTTCGCGAACCCTCAAGACGGGAATATCAAACAAGGCGACACCGAAGAGGAGGGCCAAGGAAAGAAAGGTGAGAATTTCAAAGATGGTGAGGAAAGTAATCTGGCAAATGCAGTTGAGGCAATTAGTGAGACTAATGGAAAAGATGATGGAAATATTGAAAACTCTGAACTCAATGAGAGTCAGAAACTTCATGCGACTCCTAAAGGTGGGATGAAGTTGGAAATGCAAGACAACTCTGACAACAGTGGAAGGTCTAGAAGAGTGAGAGGGAAGCATGGCTTTATTAGTGGCGATAGACGTAAGAAATGGAGATTAATTGCTAAGCACAGGAGGTTGGAGAACAGGGGAAATTTTAAAACCAATGGAGTGGGAAGTGTAGGAAGTGTGAGAAGTACAAGATTCATCAAAGATGATCAGAATGGGTCCATGGACAGTGGAGACTTAGAGGAAGCAGCTTCAAACAAGAGACTTAAAGGTGATAGCAAACAGAGACTTGAAGTTGGAAAATCAGAAGACCATGAAGCCATTAACATGCAACAACAGAACCTAAACAACAGGTATATCAAGAAACCAGAAAATAGCGCTGAACAAACGAACTCTGCAGATACACAGGACTTGCCAGCGGATTTGGAAGTTGGAGATGCAGAGGAACAAGAAAAAGATATGACTGATGATAATCTCTTTGATGAATTATCTGGTTCCAATTTGGAAGAAGATAAAGATGAGTACAGGGAGGAAGTAGATGAGTCTGAATTTTAGCAGATTTAACAACTTCTTAAGACTTCTGTTTGATTAGGAAAGTCTTAGATATCCGCTTTTATTGCTAGTTATGTTTGGTTAGCATGTTTAAGCCAGAGTGAAACTGAAATCTGGTGTATTTATTCTACAAACCCGGAATTTAGCAATTAACATCACTGAATAGCCAAGAGAGTGATTCATTTGGTTTAAGAATTCTCCAGAAAACAAAACTGCAGACAAAAAAAACAACTTTGCGCTATTAAAGAGTTTAATATTAAAAAAATTCCCAGAAATTGAAGAATCGCTTCGATACGAGTTGCAGACTTGCTTTACCAAAAAGGCAGATATAAAGAAATTGGAGTATAAAATGTTCTTGTGTTTGAGTGGCTTTTTTAATTTGCTGAAAATGACTATTTATTTGCTAATAAATTTCTATTGAATCCAACAATAAGAGGAGGGTCTGATTGGGTTACTTCTCTAGAGCCTAATTAACTGCCCTTTAAAGCCATCAAAAGGATTTGAACTAGGAAGGAGAAAGTCATTATTTTATTGACACATGAAAGGTTAATGCATCGAATGACAAAAGTAACTACAAAAAAGACATAATTGGACAGGGCATAAACTCCCAACAAAGCCATTAACCTCAATATTTTTTCAATGTATCAATCTCCATAGACTGATCAAAAATCAGTTGCTGACAAAGAAAATGAAATTTGAAGACATTATATCCAAGCAAACTCGTTATTTCGAAGAAGTTCTGGGAATATCTAAAACTCCAAACCTCAGTGCGATGCTTCCGCCAGTTGCTGAAACAAAACAAGAATTGGTCAGCAAAAGCTAAAAATACATCACAAAACAACACAATAGTTTACATCGGTGACTCCATACTGGAATGCAAAACTACACTCCCAGCTATGTTTACCTGATTCAATCAAAATTAGTTTTTTTTTCTCCCTGATCGTAGAGTTACTAGGATTGTCCAACCAATAAACACAGTAGAAAAGGCACACTGCATTGCATGGTTCACACAGAAGTACTCTACAAGAC